TCTCTCTCTCTCTCTCTCTCTCTCTCTCTCTCTCTCTCTCTCTCTCTCTCTCTCTCCTTTTACCTTATTCTGTCTTGCTCTTGCTTTGTCATTCTCTTCCTACTGGTTGCGCTGGAGTATAAAATCGATAACATTTTTGATAAAACTGCTCGCAACGAACTGAAAGCAAGACTATCAGTGGATACAAAAACAAGTATTCGAACAAAGAAATAATTAGATAATTTAATATGTACGTTCGACATCAACATTGCATATATAATTATAAAAATTCATTAAAGATAATTTATTATCCAAACGGTTGATTGTATCTTATTTCTAAAAGATTTTTTGTATTTTTAAATGATGGTTAATCGATCATTTTCATTATGCAATAAATGAAATAGTTAATGATATTGTATTAAATTTAATTTTTAAAAATTTTAAAGTTTTAGAGCAGAAATTTCTGAAAATATAATAGTTTTACTTCCTCCTTTCAAGTTCTACAATGAAGTTGATTATTTCAATTTTAGAATATGTTCTCTGTCGCTTAAAAGAGCTTTATTGTTCGTTGAGTTAACTGCCATTGCATTTACATTAATTTTTATATGCGCTTTTGGAATATAAAAGTAAAGCGATGCAGTCGAGTCAATCGCCCTTTTACGAGCTTTCCAAATGGTCGCAATACCAATGAAATTCTGACTGCAATCGATGTATAATAGCGGATATTCGGATGTAGTTAGGTTTCTATTCTTGAAATTGCGCTTGAAAAAAATGCAATGTCTATTAGAAAGTAATAACTTTTTATTTTTAATTTTTCATTATTGACCGTTTTTAACACAATATTTAAATTGTAAACTATAAGCACCATATTTTGTGCAAACTGGATGTACATTTAGTACTCTTTGTGTAGAATTCCGTAAACCACCATCAAAGAGAGAGGGGGGAGAAAGAGAGAGAGAGAGAGAGAGAGAGAACGCTTGTTTTTTAAAGTTAAATAACACATTTACTCCAATATTCTGCTTGATTGGTCCATTAATTTTCTTATTTTCGACCCTAACTTTGTCGTAATGCGATACGTTAGAATTTCGGTGCGCGTAATAGTTAAAAACTTTTTAAATAAATACAACGTTTATGTTTAGCAAGATATGTTTACATTTTTGAAGGATTCGCACTTGTGCAAGATTGCTTCCAGAATGTTAAAATACTTCTGTACAACCGTTATTCCTCATTAAATGTATCGAAATCCTCATTTCTGATAATTTTACTTCTTTTAAGGAAAACGAGCACAAACTCTCTTCCCTATCGACAGTCTCATTTCCTGCCTCAAACTTATCAAGACAAATACACTCTGAGCACGCTCCCTCGAACGTCTCTTGCCGTTCATCCGTCGGAAAATATCTCTAATGAACAAACTATCCGATTTGAGCTCATGCTGCACCATCTCGACACATCTTCCCCTTGCTTGGCCTTCCTCTCG